AAGCCAGGAGTAATGGAATGCTTTAGATTTCTTATGCTTGCATTTATATTTTTATGAAAATTATATTTCATGATCAATTAGAAGTGTTTGGGTGTTTGGAATGGCAACTTTTCAGCTTTACAATGGATTTCATCTGCATTCTTACTCAAGTCTTTTTAAAAACATTTTAATGATATATTAAGATGCTTTTGTCAACTTCTCAAGTAAGATATTCACTCAATATTTAAATTTAGCAATGAATAGAAAATCATATTATTATTAATTCCTAGTTAATTTATCACTTTATTTACCTCATGGCATTTTAAGATGACCAGTTGTAGGATTGGTTATTTGATTAATTTATCCTTAATGAATTAGTCTGGTTCTATGTAAATAAAGCAGTACAGAATCTCCTCTAGGAGAATCTTTAACTCATATTAGTTCATTTTTTTTTTCTGAATCAGAAGTTAAAGACAGTAAAATAAAACCCCTGAGAGCTAAGCACTGGCCTTTGGAGAGTCTTCTGGGGGCTTTCTGCCTGGCTGCGAGGGGGTAGGTTCCTGATGCCCTGCCTGTGTTTGGACCCATGACAGGCTGCCAGGGGAGGGTAGAAGGACAGACAAGCTACAGAACCTCTGACTGAGAGGTGCTTATAGGGTTTGGGGGAAGTAAATATGCCTTGGATTGTAGGCAATGTTGTATGTGGCAAAATCTGCAAGTGAGGGCTGGGAACTGGGCAAAATGTGGAGGAGAACATTGAAAATGATTCTATGAAAATGGCCATTTCCTGAAAATTCTGAGAGAAGTCCAGGCAGTCACTCAGCCGATGGAGGTGTTGATTAGCGTTTATGAAAGAAAGGAGGAGTAAAGGGGGGTTGACTGATCTCCTGAAATTTGAATGACAAAATTTTGTTCAGTGAGGAGAGGTTAGGTCTTTCTTAAAAAAGAGAGATCCTTATTAAGCTCTGAAGAATTCATTATCAATTCAGTAACTCATTCATATCAAACCTGTATTAAAATAAATGATTTTAGAAATATTTTCCCACTCCTTTGTTTATACCCAAAGGACTTAAAATCAGCATACTACAGTAATGCATCCACGTCAGTGTTCATAGCAGCTCAATTCACAATAGCTAAACTATGGAACCCACCTAGGTGTCCTTCAATAGATGAATGGATAAAGAAAATGTAGAATATGGACTACTCAATGGAATATTACTCAGCTTTAAGGTGTGATATCACGGCATTTGCCAGGAAATGGATAGACTTGGAGAATATCATGCTAAGTGAAACAAGCCAATCCCCAAATGACAAAGGCCAGATGTTTTCTCTAATACACAGATGCTAATTCTCAATAAGAATAGCATTACCTTAGATTAGGTAGAGGGAAGTGAAGGGAGGGGAGGAGAAGGGATGTGGGATAGGAAAGATAGTAGAATGAAACAGACATTTTACTGTATGTATATATGTGACTGCATGACCAATATGATTCTACAACATGTACACTCAGAAAATGAGAAATTATATCCCATCTGTGTATTATATAACAAAGTGTATAAATGCATTCTACTGTCATGTATAACTAATTAAAACAAAATAAAAAATTAAAGAGATAATGAGAAGGATAAATGGTATTTATTGTAAATTTCTCATGTGCTTTAGCATGAACTATTTCATTTAATCTTAATAACTTTATGTTGACAGTGTGATTATTATCTGCATTTTACAATTTATGAAGAAGGAAAGGTTACCTTGCAAGTCAGGGTTAAAAAAAGAAAAACAGTGACTAACACAGCTCAGATCCAGTTCTCTTTGAGGACTGAGTTCAAAGGCTCAGTGTTTTCCCTCTATAATCTCTTGGAAAAGACACATCTCTATATCCCATAGTCTCTCCTAAAAAAAAGAAGAGACCTACAGGGTGTACGTTAAAGCTGGATTTGTGCTCTCATAGTAGCAAGGAGTTTGCAGAAATCAGAATTTCTATACCTGGAACATAATGTGCTGCTTAGAGAAGCTGACTCCGGGCATTGGTTATATCAGGGTTGGGGGATATCTTAGACACTCTTTCTTTCTTTCTTTTTTAAATATTTATCTTTTGTAGTTGTAGATAGACACAATAACTTTATTTTATTTATTTATTTATGTGGTGCTGAGGATCGAACCCAGGGCCTTGCATGTTCGAGGCAAGCGCTCTACTGCTGAGTCACAACCCCAGCCCCTAGACACTCTTTCTTTCTGGCTAGAACTATGAACAGACAAAGAGGAGCTCAGGTGTCCCCCAAAGGCCCATGTGTTAAATGCTTGGTCCCAGGGTGGTGGCATTGGGAGGCAATGGAACCCTTAAGATGTAGGGCTTTTGGGGAAATTGCTAGGTCACTGGGGATGTGCTCTTGAAGGGGATAGTGAGACTCCAGGTCCTCTCTTTTCCTGACAAAGGGGTGAGCAGGTTTTGCTCTACCATGCATGCCTGCAATGAGGTACATGATGTACTGCCTTGACACAGGTCCAAAACAATGGGGACAGGGGATCATGGACCAAACTGGGAGAGAAAATAAACTCTTTGTCTTAATAAGGTGATTTTTCCCAGGCATTTTGATAAAGGAGTGGAAAGCTGACTAACACGGTGTCTCTGATATCTAGGACACGCTCTTAGGTGACTCTCAGGTGAGCAGCTCAATCCCTCCTGCACAGGCACCTCCCCAAGGCCTTGTAGCAATTGGAGGCAATTAATCTACTTTGATTCTCTCCTTAACCAGGAGCTTAGGGATTTTTCTGAGTCTTCTATGTGGTTGATAAAATGGTGTGTCCTGCCTATTGTCCTGAAGCCAAGGACAGCCATAGAAAGGTCAAATGCCCTGGGCTTACAGAGGTCTGCTCTTAACTTTTTTTGTTCTTGATGTCCTCAACAGAAGCTGAGGACTCAGAAAACAGGATTAGCAGGTGCCAGAGCTCACCAAGAGGTGGCAGAGGTCAGAGGGAGCTGGAATCCTAATTGGGCAAAGTGTGCCTCTGGGTCTAGGGGTCTGCATATGTGTTCCACGTCATTCCATATGTATTTTTGTATGGTATCTCTTTGCTTATCCAGTACAGGCATATCGACCTTGTCTTGGCAAACTTTGTGTGTATGTGTCTGTTGTGTTTTGTGTGTGTGTTGGCGTGATATAGAATTGATTTCCAGCCTTTTCTTCTAAGACCCAGAACATAACAATTTTAAGCAGGTTCACATTAAGCAAGGTAAATAATCTGTGTATGTGTTTTGGGATCTCTCAAGCAGGCTCTTTGATCTCAAATATTTGCCACACTCTCTTCCTGTAAGTCCCACATTTTCATATATAGACAAGAATCATAGGTAAGCAGATGAGATTGCAGAGTCTGAAGAAGTTAGATGTATTCTGCCATCGGGAGCAGAAGTCTTCTCTATTTGCTCATAACCAGCAATCTCTACTCAGTGATACAGGTGTGTGTGATCTTGCATTTTTGTCTATGAGTTATATGTATATGATTACATGTGTTTGAGATTACATGTATTTGTGTGTGTGTGTTTGCTGTTTTTTTTTTTTTTTATTTGTAGGTAGTGTTTATGTGCTGGTGTCTGTGAGTGAAAAGGGCTCAAGTGCCTCACTGACTGACCACCTCCTTCTATTTGGGTATAGTAGTGGGGCTGGGAACTTCATTCTGCAAGCAGAGAGTGTAGGTGTGTGACTGTGTGTGTTTATGCCTAACAGGGAAGAGGCACATGTATGTCATTGTTTGCTCTTGTATGATTTTTATGTGATGTGTTTGATCTAGTGTTTTTTTTTTTTTTTTTTTTTTGTCTAGCATGTGTCCAACTGTGTGAGCCTGTACTCAGAGTGTGGTTTATACCCCCAATTTGTGATTTTTTTAATGTCTTGCTCATTGTATTATGTTTGTGTTAAGACCATGCAAGTGTTTGTGTGCAGTTTTGTTAGTTTATTTGTGTGATGTGTATCAAAACTTATGTGTTATTTGTGAGTTTGTTTTTATGTTTCAGTTACACACAGCTACTGCCCTTTCTTCAGGATCACTGTAGGTTACAGATAGTAAGAAATCACAAGTCAGCAATTAAAGTGTGTGCATGTTTGCGTGATGTGTAGGGGTGTGTGTGTGTGTGTGTGTGTGTGTGTTTCACATTTGTATTTTAGGGGCTTCTGTTTGATTCCTATGGACTCAAATATTTCCTTAATTGTCTTTCGACAGTCATGTCTCTGCATTGGGCAGGAGGCTCCTGTGAGTTTCCCGCACTGGGCATACATATCGGGTAAGAGCAACAATTACAGGAAGCCATACTTGGCCCTCTCCTCAGCCTGGTTCCTGAACATTTTTGTGATCTTGGGAAGTAACTTCAGGTGTCTGTAATTCAGATTCCTCACTAGTATGAGTGTTATGGTTTAGATATGAAGTATCCCCCCTCCAAAGCTCCTATGTGAGGCATTGCAAGAATGTTCAGAGGTGAGCTCATTACTTATAAGAGCTGTAACCTCATCAATGGACTCATCTACTGATACGGATAAACTGGGTGGTATTTGTAGGCAGGTGGGGTGTGACTGGAGGGAGTGGGTCCCTGAGGAGTGACTTGGGGCTTTACACTTTTGTCTGTGGTGAGTGGAGCTCTCTCTGTCTGCTTCTTGCCTGTCACATCCTGAGCTACTTTCTTCATCCTTCTTCCACGATGTTCTGCCTCACCTGGGTCCAGAGCTATGGGGTCCACCAACCATGGACCGAACTTCTGAAACCATGAGCCCCAATACACTGTTCCTTCTCTAAGTTCTTGTTGTTTTTGGTCACAGTGATGAAAAACCCGACTAATACAGTGAGGGTTTGATGTACCATTGGAGCTAGAATGGACAGACTTTTGATCCATGAATCAGTAAGTACGAGAAACAAACAGAAGTACAGCTAGATTTAAGAATTTTCCTACTAACTAGGCATTACTGTAATGTGATGGTCACGTTCACAGGCATTCCCCACATTGTCCACCTCCCAACAGAGACAAGAAGAGCATGAGGACCGAGAACCAGAGTAGCATGGCCGAGTTCCTCCTCCTGGGGCTCCCTATTCGACCAGAGCAGCGGGGCATGGTCTTCACCCTGTTCCTGGGCATGTACCTGACCACGGTGCTGGGGAACCTGCTCATCATCCTGCTCATCAGGCTGGACTCTCGCCTGTACACCCCCATGTACTTCTTCCTCAGCCACCTGGCCCTCTCTGACATTTCCCTTTCCTCTGTCACGGTTCCCCAAATGCTGGGGAATGTGCAGACCCAGCAACAATCTCTCCCCTATGAGGGGTGCATTTCTCAGATGTACTTTTTTGTTCTTTTTGGCTGTCTGGACAATCTCCTTCTTGCAGTGATGGCCTATGACAGGTATGTGGCCATCTGTCACCCACTGCACTACGCTGCTGTCATGAGGGAGGAGCTGTGCGTCTCATTAGTGGCCGGGTCCTGGTTCTTCTCCTGCGTCCATGCCCTGTTGCACACCCTCCTCTTGGTCCAGCTGTCCTTCTGTGCTAACCAGACCATCCCCCACTTCTTCTGTGACCTTACCGCCCTCCTGAAGCTGAGCTGCTCAGACATCTCCCTCAATGAGCTGGTCATCTTCACTGAGGGAGGAATGCTTTTCATCCTGCCTTTGAGTAGCATCCTGGGCTCTTACGTCCGAATAGGGATGACTGTCCTGAGGGTCCCCTCCACCAAGAGATTCTTGAAGACTTTTTCCACCTGTGGCTCCCATCTCTTTGTGGTGTCTTTATACTATGGGACACTTGCAGGTGTTTATTTTTTCTCTTCGTCACAGAACTCCAGTGACAAGGACATTATCTCTTCTATCATTTATACAGTAGTGACACCCATGTTGAACCCCTTCATCTACAGCCTGAGGAACAGAGACATAAAACAGGCCCTGGACATATTTGTTAGTAGGGCTAACTTCTTTAAGTGACAGTCACTAAATCCACTCACTTCAGTCATGAGCACAGAGAGATATTTCTTAGAATTCTGCTATCATTGACAATTCCATATATTTTTAGGGGGAGGGCGGTGTACTGGGGTTACATTCGTAGTTCTTTTTATTTTTTATTTTGAGACAGGGTCTCACTAAGTTACTCAGCCAGTCCTTTCTCTTGCTATTCTCCTGCCTCAGTCTCCCAAGTAGCAGGGATTACATGCAGGTGCCGCAGTGCCCAGCTTTCAACTCCATGTAGATTTAAAATAGTTCATATTATTTTATTATATACAATGCTTTTTTTTTTTTTTCAGTGCTGGTAATCAAACCTAGGGCTTGACTGATGCTAGGAAAGCCCTCTACCGTGAAGCTCTAGCCCCAGCCTGCAGTGTTCTTAATATATCAGCCAGATCCAGTTTGGTACTTGGGTTGTTAGGTCCCCTCTACCCTTAATTACTCTTTGCTTATTCATCATCTCATAAGATGTATGCAAAATCCTACACAAAACATCTTGCACCATTTTGATTGTGAATTTGTCCGTTTTGACTTTTGGAATTTTCTCGTTTGGCTTCTATAGATTTAAAACTATGTTACCGAGGACACATAGTTTTAGCATTATGATCTACTTCTGGTGCACTGGCTGTTTCAAGCAGTGTTGTGCTCAAGCCGGTTTGGATCTGGTTAAAGCTGATTGTGCATGTTTCTTCCCAGCTCCACACTCACATTATTTTGGTAGCTTAAAAGCGGCCATCATGGCAATAATTACCCCATGGAAGTTGGCAGATGCTGTAGACATTCCTTATTCATTCAGCGGCACACCAGAGCATTTGTAATTAGAAGATGTTTCACTTCGTCTTTATAGATGACCCCTATGTAACATCTCATCTGCTTCTCATTTTAGTTTACCTGTACCAGCTCTTTCAAGGTTAATGATTGCCTGGTGTTTCTTTTCCATCTTTTTACTTTAAACTTTTCTACATCTTTTTCTTTGTGATATATTCATCGTAAACAGTGTAAAGCTGAGCTTTGCTCTTTTTGTGTACATGGACAGTTACTTTTTGGGGAATTCAATTCATAGTATTTATATTTAATGTAACCATGGTAACAGCTGGATTTGCTTTTCTATAGTACGCTCTTCTATTTGGGACATTTGTTTCTTATTTTCTCTCTTTCCCTCTTAGGTTAATCACACATTATTATTATTTTACTAATTTGGAGCATTTCTAAAAATTGCTACTTGCTTTCTATTTAAAACGTTTCCATTGAGGAATACTATACATGACATAAAATTTACCATTTTCACCATTTGAAATGCATAATTTGGTGACATTTAGTGTGTTCATAATGTTCAGTCATCACCAGTCTCTCGTTCTCACATTCCCAAAGAACTGCATGTCCATTAGGCAATCATCTCAGTCCTTAGGAAATTCTAAACTCCAATGGCTTCGTGGATTTGCTTATTCAGGATATTTCACATAAATTGAATTTTAAAATATGTGACCTTTGTGTCTGACTTCTTTTCACATAATGTTTGCAAGGTCCATCCATGCTGCAGCATGTGTCAGTACTTCATTCCTATTTTGGGGTGAATACTATTCCATTGTATGGATATACCACAGTTTATTTATCCATACATCCATTCATGGACATTTCATTATTTATACCCCTTGGCTATTGTTAATAAAGCTTCTATAAACATCAGGGTGCAAGTTTTCTTTTAAAAACTTTTTCAATTCTGTTGGATATATATCTAGGGGCAGAATTGCTTTTATTTAATTATTGACAAATAAGCTATTCAACAGCAAATGGAGCAATTTGTATTCCAACCCACAATGTTTAAGTGCTCCAGTGTTTCTGTATCTTTGCCAATCTTGTGTTTTTAAATTTTTTTAAAAAAATTTTTTGGTTTATTTTTATTTCCATTTTATGAGATATGAAGTGGTATTTCACTGTAATTTTGACTTGCTTTTTTCCTAATGACTAATGATGCTGAGTATCTTCTATGTCTTTGTTGAACATTTTTATATTTTCATTGGAATAATGCCTGTTCATTTTCTTTACCAATTAAAAGAATTTTTCTTTGCCTTTTGTTGTTGGACTATAAGTGTTCTTTATATATTCTGGATACTAGATTCTCATAAGACACATTATTTGTAAATATTTTCTCCCATCTGTGAATTGTTTCCACTTTCATGATACTGGCCTTTTATATTAAAATGTTTATGGGAGGCTGGGGCTGTAGCTCAGTGGCAGAGTGCTTGCCTAGCATGTGTGAGGCACAGAGTTTGATCCTCAGCACCACATACATATAAATAAACAAAATAAAGGCATTCTACCCATCTACAATTACAAATTTTTTTTTAAAGTTTAAAATTTTTATAAAGTCCAATTTTTAATTTTTGTGATTTATACTTTGTGTGTCATGTCATGTTCTAAACCATAAACAAATCCAAGGAAAGAAGATTCATTCCATGTTTTCTAAAAGTCTTATAGTTTCATTTCTTATATTTACATCTTTGGATCATTTTTGAGTTAGATTGGCATGTAATGTGAAATAAGATTCAATTTTATTTTTTTTTCCTTTGTGGATATGCAGTTATACCAGCACCATATGTTGAAGAGACTATTCTTTCTCCATTGAATGGTCTTGGCACCCTATTGAAAATCAGTTGTGCACATGTATGGGTTTATTTCTGGACTCTCAAGTCCAGCAGCTCAATCTACATATCTGTACTTGGGCCAGTGGCACACCATTTTTATGACCACAGTTTTGTAGCATGTTTAGAAATCAGGAAGTATGAGGCCTTTAAATTTGTTCTTATTTTTCAAGATTGTTTTGCCACAGAGGAAGAGTCTGGGGATGGAAGTATATGGGGGGTAAGAGCTGTGAAAATCTCCTGCACATTTCAGGGGTCTGGAAGTTCATGTGTATGCTCAGGATAAACTCATGCTTAGAATGATCGGAGGAGACCCTGTGCTTTCAGCTCTGGCCAATCTCTAGTATGCTTGCAAGCAGCAAGAATAAGGTAGAGTCATAGCTACCTAGATAAGCATGGAAAGAGTACGCCCCAAGACAGAGAATCTGCAAGGAACAGGAAAGCTGTTTTCTTCTTTTTGGATCCAGGAAGCTAGGACATTTCTATTAAATCACTAGTTGATGACTAAGCTCACAGAACGTTTAGTGACCAGACACACACGAGAATACAGTCTTTATAAGAATAGTTTGTAAAAGTCACTAGTCAGGATTAGAAGATGGCAGAACAGTGAAGGAACAGCTGATCTGAGAGGTGGGTGACAGAATAAATGCTCTAAGACCCAGTATTATAAAGTCTAAGATCTGGAGAGACTGGAAGGTCAGTTACTGCGGTAGAAAACAAGCGCAGAGTTGGCTAACCCTGAACCTGGACCAGGGAGAGGAAAGGTGGGAGGGATCAGAAAACCACATGAGCTCACTCCTGTAGCAACATTTGGAAAAAATAAGACCAAATTAAAACATGACAGGACCAGTGGTGTCCTCAAAGCAAGTCAAACAGTTTAAAACCAAAGTGTGACTGGAAAGCCGGGCTGAGGTCCACAACCATTTTGGGGTGACCAGTCACCCTTTGGATCCACACTGCATCTTCCCACCTCCAGATAACAAACTAAACCAGACGGAGCACTCCTGCAGTGAGACCTCTTAAGCGTCCCTCTAGAAAGATCTTGTAGAGGAATCACTACTAGCCTAAAAAGGGGAGTGGGAGAAGCAGACCTGCCCCAGGAAGTGTGAGCCTAACCCAGCTCCACACAGCCTCCAGGGGAGCCAGGCAGAGATGGAGCAGATGCCTGCAATTCACTGTGGCAGGAAGCGAGAGCTCAGATCCAAGTGGGAGGGTAGCTTTGACTCCCATCAAGACCTCTGCTGCCCGTGATGCTGGTGGAAGGCATAGCTGGGAATTTACCTTTTTCCTAAGAAGCCTAGCAGGACTCTCCCCATGATTGCAGCTGCAGTTTTGTTGGGTATGTCCCAGAGGGAAGCTGCCTGGGACTCCAGCAGCACATGGGGATGGTTCCCCAATTGTGGCAGTAGTTGGCGGAAGGCCAGGATAAGAAGTTGCCTGATTCCCAGAAAGCTTAAAGGGAAGGTCCCCCATTGTGACCATTGAGAGGTTGGTCAAGATGGAAAGTTGCTTGGGTCAGAGGCATCACAGGGAGCGACAGCATCCAGCCTGACCTGTGGCCACAGCTGGTGAGTGTTTGGGCACTGTTTGGACACTGGCTGGTTGCTGCCTCAGTCACAGTTATTCCTCTGTCCCTGGGAACTATGTGCCTGGGGTCAAGTTCGAAGCTGATAAGACTCTTGCACTGAGCCTCCTCAGCTGGGGCATTAACATAGCAGCTAGGCGTCCTGTGTCCTTGCACAGAAACATTACCAGGCAGCAGGTGCACCCCAGCCATGAAGTCATCAGAGATCCCCAAACTCAGTCACTGCTCTCCCATTCTTTGTCACTGCTCTTCACCACCCCATCTTAGGCTCAAGAGTGTAAAAGAGTGTGAAATTCCTTTGAGGAGAGACCACTGGGGTACCGTGCTGTACGATGGAGCCCAGGATGTTGTTTCACCGTGCTCAGTCACCCGGGCATTCAGAGGGCTGCTTTAGCTGTGGTCCCTGGAGGCTTGGCTACTGATGGAGATGGTGGCAGACCTTGGTGACGATCACTTGGTGCTGGCTCTGTAGGTGCAGGTTTCTGGAGACAGGGGCTCATGGAGGTTTCCACTGAGATCTGAAAGGAAGGTCTGGAAGGCCAGGCAGCGTGCAGCAGGGCTGGATTTCCTGAGGGTTGTCCCTGATAGGGTGATGCATGGCAATGTGAGAAGGGAGCCAGAGCAGCACTAGAGACCGCTGGGATTAAGAAATGCCAGTGATGTGGGACATCTGCTGAGAAAAGCTGAAGGAATTGAGCACAGAAAGCCAAGAGAGAGGCATGTGAGCTGCACCAGTAAAGTCATAGGGGCAGAGC